GGGGGAGCATAAATGGGTTGTGGGAGAGAGTGCAAGTGGGTGTATGGGTGGTGGGAGGGGGGAGCATAAATGGGTTGTGGGAGAGAGTGCAAGTGGGTGTATGGGTGGTGGGAGGGGGGAGCATAAACGTAAATGGGTGGTGGGAAGTTAGTCACAGCCAAGTTGCTAAAGAGAGTTTTTAAGAACTGAAAGTCGATAAACATCCAAGGAAACTGTTAACGATTAAACTAATGCAAGAAGCAACGTGAGAAAAAGCCGCATCACGCTTTTTGCGATGCTCGCGTTCACTCATCCGTGTTTTCCAGCAGGGCTTCGGAGGTCTTCGCGACTTTGCCAGCTTCCCGACCCCAAGAGCAAGGAGGCGCAGTCTGTGACGCCCCTCAAGATCAAGCTGTCGACGATGGAGGTGACGGAGAGCGAACGGCAGACGAACAACGGTAAACATCGACTGAACGAGATTACGTTACGATGTTAACGCATAAGTTCGTGAATTAAAAAAACCTGAAATTTGACCCGTGTTTAATGTTAAATACATTTACGTGTTAACGTTAATAGATCAAGAGTTGATAACGGTAATAAATTCAATTTGTTGCACTAGCTTCAATAAATAAATGTGCATTAACGTAAACAGATTTGCGATGGCATTGCAATCGAACACAATTGTGCCAAAGCCATACTGTAATATCAGAATATCGCGAGTCTTAACTTAAAAACGTAACTGTTTTGTTACGATACGACGAAAAAGCATCAAAGCGTTTTCGAGAGTAAGACCAAAAAACAAACGAAACTACGTAAAAGAGAAACGAGATTTGACTACTGAATTTTCTCCGCATCAACCGTCGCCGCCCCCTCGCGTCGTTAGCGTTGCGTTCTCCGCGAGCTCGACAAAAAAAAAAAAACGAAACGTAAAAGAAATTACGTAACACGTTGTGACACAACACATATCCACTGCGATTCGCGCATACAGTTGCATTTGTATGTGAAGCTCATTCGGGGGGAGATGCCGAAAACGGGAAAGATATCCTCCGCATTACCGCCGTGTCTTTTCCAAAAGAAACTCGCAAAAGAAATGACGTAAGAGTCGACCGCAATATCCATCACTCCGCGTTAACGCTGCGCTGGCTGCTCTGTGCAGGTACCAATATCCTCTGTCGTTAAACTCCGGCGCCTCCTCTCTTTTCGCAGGTAAGGGAGAGAAAGAAGCGGACGCGCTACAAGCCGCTACGCTCGTGCGTACAACGAAGAGTACTGCTTCGTGCATGGACGCCAAGTGCGCAGGAACCTCGGACGCTACCTCAACCACTCACTGCTCGCGACCCGAACGTGTTCGCTGCAGAACGTTTTCGTCGACACGCACGACCTCCGCTTCCCCTGGTCGCGTTCTTTCTCCGACAAGCTGATACGCGCGCGGGCGCCGAGCTGACGTGGGACTACAGCTACTGAGATTGCAGGGTAGCCCGGAAAGGTGCTCTTTGTTACTCACTGCCAGTCGCGCAGGACTGCAGGGGGCGCCTGCTGTAGGGGGCGACGCCAGTAAAGGGTGCCTGCTGCCATACGCTAATACTGGGAGGCGCTGCTTGTGGCAGGTTGAGGTACTCCCAAAGGCTGGCGCCTGCCTGCTTAGTAGATACACGAATAGGGCAGCGTAGCTGCTCTGGTGAGGGCAATTCCAGGGTGTGTAGCTCCTGCTGTAGTAGGTGCCTCAAGTAGATTGCCTGCTGTAACGAGGCCAGTTCCGCAGCATAGTACTGCTTTACGAGTGCTTGCTCGTGAGGGACACCTCTAGTTAGGCGTACTGCCAGTAGGTGCTGCTTCAGTGAAGAAGCTCGTTCCGGTAGGGGGCACCGGCTGCGCAGGGCTCTAGTTTATATCGTATATTAAGCCTTTGGTAAGTGTAGCATGTTTGGTTGCCGATATGGCAGAAAAAGGTTGTTCACCAAAGATTTTCATGTGAAAGTGCGATTTGGGCGCATTAGCCATCATTAAGCTGTGTAGCAACGAGGACCAATAGATAAATTTGCGATGTTTGATATGGCCGTTGCCGTTGTGTTTCGTTTTTGTTAATTGTCATCCAGGGCATATGATGTCATTAACCAAATAATAAATATTTATAGCATTCGTAGCAGGGGTGTGTACACATGTCTGTAATGAACTGTAATGTGTATATTAGTGATATATATATATATTTACTAGCCATACATACAAAGCCTATGTTTAAAAAAACACGTCCATTGTATAAATGTGTCACTGTTACACACACAAGACGATAGTTGACTCATTCTCTTGAAACCATGCACATAGTCTACTAATATAGAAGAAACGTTCTTATAGTACCAGACATATGTACTTTGTCGTTCCGTGTCAGTTTACTTATTTACTCATAAATGCAACCTGTGAATTTTTTTTTTTTTTTTTAAAGATTTCAAGTCAGTGCAATTAGAAATACTTCAGCTGTGTGTTTCCAATAATGCTCTCTAACTATTAAACTATGTATAACAATAAAGTCTTTCCCGTGCAAAGAGCAATGGTTGCTATCGCTTTCTGTAAGAAACAATGAAATAAAATAACAAGACTTCAATTTCTTATTCACGCGTTCGAAACGGAATTACCTTATTCTTGCGCCATTATTATGCGAAAAAGGCTATACTCTATGAAAAATTCACTATGAATATCACATCATATTGTAATTTAAAAATGCAGTTAATTTAGACTGGGGGATGGGCTGTTTTCCGCAGCCAGCTCCTGATTTCATGTCGTTTTTATCTTCTACTATATAACCATACAGTAAAATCAATTCAAAAAAGTAAACCAAATTCGCGATCAAAAGCTAATTGATCCCGGACCGGCTGCTGCGCTTCCAACGCCACCTACAGGCACAACTTGAACATCTTTGTATCTCGACGTCCCGTCCGTAGAAGAAGACTGGCGTCTCTGCACGCAGCGCGGACCTCCTACCACTCGATTCCGCGCTCTCCGACGAAATCCCAGGGAAAAACTCCGTCGGCTCCATCCTCCTCACGCCGCACACGCTACATACGCCGCCCCAGCGCGATGCTGCCGCCGCCGCAGCCTCGTCGTCGCGGTGACAAGCGCGCTCGGAACACGCTGTCACGAGGCTGCGGTGCGATGACGTACGACTCGTAGACGGCGTCCGTCGCCATGACGACGTCGACGCTGCGAGCACGATCGCGTCTGCGTCTCGCCGTGCGTCGAACCAGCGTACCGCCAGTACCGAGGTCGCAGGATCGCTTGACGTCTGCCGCCGCAAACGGATGCGCCGCACGACCGGCGACGCGGGTGCGTGCGCGCCGGATCGCCGTACCGGACCCGTCCACGACGATCGGCGCGAATCTTGCCGTGATGCTTGCCGTCGTCGCCGCTGACGATCGCCTCGACGCCTTCTCGCATCCGCTCACTTTGGCTGCCTGCTTGCCTGTCGTCGTGACGATAACGATGCTTCGCGCGTATAGTTACTTCAGTCGCTGCCCTCTGCCTGTCGTCGCCCATCAACGCATCATCATTGCTTCGCAGCGTTTCGTTACTCTCCCTGCTAATCCCGTTTTCATCTGTCGCCAGCTCGTAGATTATATCATTCAGGTTCTCTGTGAGCGTGTCGATTCAACGTCGCGTTGCAGCTGGTTCCGCGAGAGCGCGAGCGACGACGCTGGGCGAAGCGCCTGCGCGCCGCGCCCAGCCAGCCGAGACCGCGCGGCGAGCGGCCGCTGCCCGAGCTCGCGAGCACACTCGCCTGCCCGCCGAACGCACTCGCTCGCTGCCGCCGCCCCAGCAGCCACTCGCAGAACGCGAGCGCCGCGTCCCACGTGCGCAGCCCCGTCGTGCCGTCCGAGACGAGGCGCGTGCTCTCGCGAACTGTGACGCGCCGCCGCCGACCCCCGCCGATGACGCTCCCTCCGCTACCACTACCAGTACTACCGCCATCGCTGCCACCGCCTCCGCCGCTACCACCGCTGCCCCCCTCGCCGCTGCCAGTGACATTGTCGTCAACGATGTACGTCTTGTAGCAGGTGTTGGACGCATCGTCGCGCCGCACGACGAGGTCCGTGTAGGACGCGTAGAGGTCGCCGCTGACTTCCGCGCCGTGCGACTCCAGACTGTTCAGGAGCGCCTTGAGAAACCTCAGGCGGTACGTCACGGTAGGCGGGTAGGTTTTGCACAGCTTCGACTCGACGGTCGCGTCGAGAAGGTGGTCCTGTAGGTGCACTTCGGTCGATTCCCAGCTAGGTGGCGCGAAGTCGTCGCGAGTCCAGTCGAAGCGATTGAGAGGAACCATCGCGAAAAATTGACGTCGTATTTTCCCTACCCAACACAGCTGAGATGGTGTTACTGTTAGTTCATTCATGGCCGCCCTGTGTAACGTAGCAGTTGTGCAGAGGCGTAACAACTAGCGCTAGTGTATCGCTAGCTTTGTTCTGTAATGCTTGAGAGAAGTTTCGTGAGGATCAGGGCGCTGCGTTAATCGTGTTTACATACAAATGCTTGCGGTGCATGGGCGCAGCCATATGTTATCAGTCTCGCCCTCTCTCGGCGGAGCCGTAAGAAATATTGTTATTTTAAAATAATCACATATTAGCCGTCAAACATTCTTCGTACATAGCACTTAGTGAAAATGTACATTTTGTTGTTTTATATTTAAATATCGAATAAAACATATATTAAAATGTTTTATTCGTGTATATAAATAAAAGTAGATGGCGATACGGGCGCACATGTTCGTGAGATTTTATTTTCCCGCGCTGATCTTTCGTGAATGACAGCACAAGGCACTCGCATTAAAATGACGGAGACGTGATATTTGTTTGTTTCGACGTCGTAAAATATCTGTGTATTTGTGTCGCACGCTCGCAAACATGAAGGAAGATAGAGCTTCTAAGCAGCCGATGCTGAACGGTAGTCCGAAGAAAATTCAACACAAGGTTTATAAGATAGTCTTGACGGGCGGTAAGTAGAGAGTTGTTGACGTTGTATTACGACAACTTGGACAAGCTTGTCTATCAAATACTATTATCGTATTTGGAATCGAGCCAAAATTGTAGTCTATATATTGAACTTTATCAGTGTACGAAGTAGCACGAATGATATAGATTAATATGACCATGTACTGCTTCATGATAACGTAAACTAACCGATTTTGCATACGGGGTTCAAATACACACGTTTGAGCACGTGTAACAGCAGTGACATTGAAAGTGTACCGTGCGTCCTTTCACAGCAATGTTACACATTTTATTAGTGTAGATAGCTTGTACATGCTTGATACGGTGCATACTTTGGTAGATTCACTCCAGTTTTATCCGATGACATTAAGACTACAAGGCATTTACCGAGAACAAACACATGCATATTTACATTTGTCTCCGTCTCTCAGACCCAGCTAGCTGTACCTACTCAAGATTCAAGATGTTTATTTTGTGCATAAGTCGTGTATATACAGTGTACATCGGCAAATAGGAAATATACAAGTCATAGTTAATCTAGTTTACAAAGGAAGCACAGGAGTGGCGAAAGAACCCGGAGGTTAGACATTCGATCATCACGATGCATCAGCCCTGTTTAGACGAAACCCTACGTCGTCGCAGAACACGATACTCTCTGACGTCGGAATCGTAATCATCACTTGTGAGAGCTCGTGGCAGTGACGTACGAGCGTCTGTTGTTACTCTCACGCAGGTCCCTGCGGTGGCAAAACAACAGGACAGGTGAGGCTGAGCAACTTCTTCGAGAATCTGGGATGGAAGGTGTACCGAGCGCCGGAGACTGCCTTCGTACTCATGTCGTGAGTGTCGCGCCCGACCGTACAGCGCGGACACCGACCAGATTTCCTCCGCTCCCGGGGAAATGTTTTCATCTCGGAAACGCGCGCAGTCGTCGTGGCGATTCTTGTTCTAATTGCGGATTGCATATGTGCCGTCGATCCGTCGTGGGTTCTTGCGCGCCGGCTCGTGCGAGCCACGTGCGTGGGTTCTACTGAGCTGGTCTGTGGGGTTTCTCTTGTACGCGTGTGTTTGTGCGTGTGCGTGCACGTACGACTGCTAGCGTGCGTGAGCTTGCGACTGATAGCGTGCGTGCGTGCGTGTGAGCGTGTGTGTGCACGTACGACTGATAGCGTGCGTGCGTGTGAGAGTGGGCGTGCACGTACGACTGATAGCGTGCGTGAGCATATGACTGATAGCGTGCGTGCGTGTGAGCGTGTGCGTGCACGTACGACTGATAGCAAGCGTGCGTGCGTGCGTGCGTGTGTGCGTGTGCGTGCACGTACGACTGATAGCGTGCGTGCGTGCGTGCGTGTGAGCGTGTGCGTGCACGTACGACTGATAGCGTGCGTGAGCTTGCGTGCGTGTGAGCGTGTGCGTGCGAGTGACTGCCAGCGTGCGTGCGTGAGAATGCGTGCGTGAGCGCGTGAGCTTGGATGATACTCCATTAGGAGTGTTCCCAACTTTAATGTCATTAATGGTCATAATAACATATATATGGTCATGGTCATATATTAATTTGTGGTTTAATATCATTTAGGTTACGGTTAGGGTTAGGATTATCAATCATTAATCATTAATGTTATCAAAGTTGGGAACACTCCTAATGAAGCGTTAGCTCATGCTTGAGTGCGTGTGCGTGCATGTGCATGCGTACCTGCGCTGCTACTGCATTCATCGAGTAGATTAAAGGTTGAGTAGATCATTAGCCAAACGATAATTACTTGGCATCGCGTTGCCGTGGGTTACCGCCCGTAATTACGCATATTCCCGCGTCCCTAATGCGCTAGGTATTCATCTGTTGGCAGGTGTCACAGGGCACCTCTGTTTCCTGGTAACTGGGATGAACGTATCTTTAAAAAATTATATGTTTGCTGTCCTCCGACCGACCCACAAAAATAGCCGCGACCCAAAAGTTTTTTTTGACATTTTGGGTTCCATTTTTTTTTTTTACATTTTTTATATTTAAGACTGAAACACAAAGCATGTGTGGCACACATGAGGGCAGACTTAAAAGAACTATTATGCCTCACACAAAAAAAATGACCTACCTACCTACCTACCCACTATAAAAATCATAGGTTGGGGGACAGCAAACATAGAATTTTTTAAGGATGGCCTTAGGGCTAATACGTAACAACAACATAATTAGGAATCTGTACGTGTACGGTAATGGCCTGCTCCGGTATTTAATTAGAAGAGTGTCCATTTATATCATAAGTACTAATTAATATCAGGCGTACCCCCATGTCAATACCACATCAGTACCACGTCAGTACCACATTACTGCATAATTAGTAATGACCATCAAAGGGAAGGTAGTATGAGTACTGGTCATCTTTACTCGGACTGACGTGATGTGAGTGGCACTGCCATTTGTAAGCCGTCTTCAAATGTTCGCTTGGCCGCGTTCACATCTAGGACTGCCGTGGACTATGTACCACTCATCACTCACTCACGAATCCAGAGAAACATGATACAAGATTGCGTGGCACAGCTTTGCTGTGGGTCCTGAGCGCTGCGCGCGGATGAGGCGCGCAGTTCCGCGGGATATGCGCACGCGACCGTGGGGATGTTCAACATGGTTTGCACAGTCCTTGAATTTGAGGCGAGTCCATTAAAAGCTACCTGAATTTAGATAAATGTTGATTTTGTTGCTTGAATTGTCATGAAAATGCTCCTTTGAATTTTTTAGAAAGGAATACGCTTGCCTGTAATAAAAAAAAATTTTTACCATCAAATAATGTGCAAACCTCAATAAAAATGGTGTTTAAATGAGCTTAATAACTATAGACCACGATTTAGACAGTTAAAATACATGATCATAAATTACAGTAAGTCAGTAAAATCAGCTGCCAGTAAATCAACCAGTATGTTGTACGAAGTGACAGTACTTTAAAGGCGTTAATAATCGATGACCAGTGTAAGTTTTAGACAGGTTGAGCATGCAGTGATTAAGATATGGCATTCGCGTTATTAAATTAATCAGGTATTGTTTGGTTCTGTGTATTGAATTCCGATAAAAGCGCATGTCTGATAAAATGCATTCCTTCGAATTTTCCGATAAAATGTCCTTGATATTCCGATAAAATGTCCCCCTTGAATTCTCCGATAGAAATGCCTTGAATTCGAAAAATGCCTGTCCGCAGTTGCGAGACGTGCGCAAAATTCGATGCCCGGCGGCACGTCTTACGCACAGCGTCAGCGGATAGGTCTGTAGTTTTGAAGATAACAATGAAAGACTCGTTCTAAATAGATGAACTATTGCGGCCTTAAATTTAAGAGCAATATATACACCTTTGAATTTCTTGACTTAGTCAGTCAAAGGCTTGTTGCGGGGTCTATTATTGCAGAGCTTTCAATTGAAATTGGCTCCATGTAATTGTCGAGTGAATTGTGTTTTCGGAACCCCAAAGAAAATTTCTGCCATCTTACATGCACCCCCGTCCCTGATCAATCACGCATCAGGCGTAAACAATAACAAGAGATGAAATTGTGTTGAGTTTGTGGAACCTGCTTGACGCAATGTCATTTGACGTACAAGAGCCGTTGAAACGCACAGTGCACTTGGAACTTTTCAATAAAATATTAATATTCACCACAATTGTTTGACAATTGATTGACTGCCTGTGTGCAAAATAGGTGAACGTATGCTGAAACATATGTACGTATACGTTACTGTGACATATTCGGTTGACTAAACTGAGCATCTACTGCCACTAAATTGTGTAAAATGTCCATGCACCATTAATGAAATAGCTGAGAAATTTACGAGTTATCATCGCGCAGAACTCCCGACACCTGCCGCATCCTGATGTCACAAAGCTATATGTAAATCACACGTCGTGTTGGCGAGTGCGTGCCTCTGATATCCATTTCGAGGCCGCTAAGCCCAGCATAAAGCGTGCGGGCAAGACGTCACACACACACAGCTACGTTCTTTGGCTAAAACAATCGAGTAGCGCGGTTAGGGATTTTCGGAATTATTTAATTTTATGAAAAACTTCAATGTTCAATGAATGTCGCACTTGTTCACTTCCGAAAGCGGGTAAAAATGCCGAATTTTTCCACTTCGTTGCGAAATGCATTGGCCGGCATTTCATTATTTACGAAAAGTAAACAGGCTGGCGAGAGACAGTAGGTACAGGAACTGGTCACGTCGGTGACGCCCCATTCATGCCCGTCAACGAAGAAGGCAGGGCTTATTCTGATTACGGAGATGCGAAAATGCTACAGAAGGACGTAGCGGCGGTAGCGCAGTGCGCTAAACAGCGTGTTATTTTTGTATTTGTGGGAAACTCGTAGGAAACCGTTCTAACATAGCAGAATGCCCTAGTTCCTGAGATCGGTGATTTGGTGGTCCAATGGGTCCCCACCTATAAAAATATCAATGACTGGTGCGGCGTAAGCTGTGATTGGAAGACACAAAGTGTCAGTCCTCGGCGCGCCTCGGCATCATGGCCGCATCACGTCCAGACTATAGATGTTTTTCTTGCGTGCGTTGCACGCGCGCGCGGCTCCTGATTTTGTGCAGTCAGCAATCCACGTACGGAAATACACGCGGGCCTGGCACGTGGCCAACAAGACGAACGCGGACTATTACTGTACATTAGGTGTACTCGCTGTGTGTGTGTGCGTGTGTGTGTGTTTTACAACGACTCATCATGTGAATGTATCGTCACGTCCGCGGGTTTCTTAGAACCCCTTACGTACGTGATGCGCAAATATTAGAGCTAATGATTACGCCGCAGGGGCTGATGCATCCGTTACCGTACCTTGCATGCGTAGTTAAAGGTCAAATGCAAGTTTTTAACTACTGTTGATACGTGTGTGTACAATATATATATATATCCGGACTAGTGATGAAACAGAATGTGATTAATATCTACTCCTGATAATATCATATCTATGCCCAACATATATATAATACATAGTTACTAAGTATATAAATAAGAGTACAGATTAATACATAGGATTGGGCGGTTGTGGCCAGTATCCTGTCTTATTCCTATGTACGTAACCAATCCCTCGAGCCAGATGGGGTCACGGCTAGCTGGCGCGGTGTGAGTTGATTAGCCGTGGTAGCGGGAACGGAAGGAAGGGGAGTGAGAGGGTGGAGGCAGAGTGTGAGGAAGCTGCCCTAAAAAACTGTAGGTTAATATTACTGTAGTGGCGGTTTGTGGAACACTGTTCGGCAGTTAGGAAACGCAGGGGGGGGGGATGAGGGATGAGGAGGTAGGAAGATTAGCAGTAGTAGCAGCAGCAGCACCACATCCACCACCACCAGTAGCAGCAGCAGCAGCAGTAGCAGTAGCAGCAGCACCTCCACCAGCAACAGCAGCGGCAACACCAGAAGCAGCAGCACCA